GCTTATTCTTATTTATCGAAATTTATTATTTTAAGTAATTAATTTTATTAAAGTTTATTAATAATAATTTTCATAAATGATTAATTACTTTTAAAATAATTTATTTAATCAAAAGAGTTCAAACTCTTACAGTTAATTTTTTGGGTTAAAGTCAAAAAAAGGCGTGATAGCGCTATCGATTGGCTGTCAATATGAGATTCAACTTAAAAATTATCAACTAGTTATTGACACCCATTATTTTAATATTATAAAGCATACAATTAATTTCGATTATTCAATTTTATAAATTTTTCATATATTGTTAATTAAAAAAAAAAAAAGATGATTTTATTAGATGAAGAAATGAATTTAAACTCGGCATTTAAAAAAAATGCTTTTCTAATCAAAGTTGTTAAGAAAATAAACGTTCGTAAGCTGGTTTTAACTGGTGCTAACTTTATTTTTTAATAATTAATATTTAATATTAACTGACAGTAATTTTTTTCAATTTTTTAATTAATTAGAATTTAATAAAAATTTACATGATAGTTATTCTTATTACAGATGATTAAATATATTTAAAAATAATTTAGGGTGTCAATACTAAGACCCTTGTCAATAATTGGGGCTTTTACCTTAGTATATCGTCCCCTTTCTGTGTTAACCTCGTATCTCCATTTTTTTCGAAATTGAGATTTTTAGCGAAAATCACTCCTTAGCACTCTTGTAACGTAAAACAAAACATGCAATGTTCACAAAGATGATAGAATTTTTTTTAGAGACTTTTGATTTTTCTCGTATCTACATATTCGAATTCAAAAACCTCGTATCTACCGTAAGTATCGCCGAAAACGTTAAAATGGCGTTGTTGTCTTAATACTGAATGTTTGTAAACGTGTTCACACTTAAGTTGACTATATTTTGTTGATTGACATTTATTTTTTATCCATATAAATACATACAAATATTATTTAGCTCTTCGAGCTCAAAAGTCTGATAGAAGTTTGATGCAACACTATTTTTTAAATTTTCAAACCGCGATAACTTTTGAATAAATGGAACGATTTTTACGCGGTTGGTGACATTCAACGCAATTTTTTAAGCCTCATAAAAAATCTTTATCACGAATTTCGGAGTAATTCCGAAAAAACACTTTTTTCGGTTTTCTTTCGTCAACGATAACTCACGAACGAATCAACCGATGTTGATCGGACTGACAGCAATCGACGTGGTTTATTAATGTTAAGAGCTAATTAGTTTTTGGAATTAATCGGTAAAGCCGTTTAAAAGTTATTCCAAAAAAACCATATTAAAAAAAATTTTTTTTCGTAGTTTTTTTGAGATTTCTTAAACTCTACCGGTGCGAATCAGTCCAAATTATATTTAAAATCTAAGTTCAGTCAAGCCCTTCCAAATTGCACCAACTGCGATAAAATCGGTCAAGCCGTTCAAAAGTTATAAGAGGTTTACATACATCCACGCACACACATACATACAGACGTACAGACACCATCACGGGGGTGGTCAAAGAAGCTTCCTGAGACCTTGAAACGTCGAGATCTAGTGAAAAATCAATTTTTACAAAAGGGGGTAAAACCAATAACTTCCCGATTTTTTAAGATCTCCGATTTTCTTAGCGGGAAGTTAAAAATAATTAAATCATATTATAAATAGTAATCACATGATTTATAACATATTAAATCAAAATCAAATAAATTTGTTTAAATTAATAAATATAAAATAATAATGAATTGAAAGCCTTGCATAACAGAATTTTCCGCCAATGATCTTATAGAAAAAACAATTTTTTTTTGTTTCAAAACCTCGTATCTGCAAAAAAAATCACCAGGGTGTTTGATGAGAAAACTCGTATCTACATGAAATTGACAATAACAACAAAGCATCGATGCAGATAGCAAAAATCATGTTTAATTCTTTTAAGGTGATTGATAAAGAGCTTAAATTTTGAATTAGTTATAACTTTTTATAAAAATTAAGTAACTCTAAACGTTTTTATCGATTTACCGAAAATTACGATTTTGTAGATACGAGGTTTACACAGAAACGGGACGATATTTCTTCCTTAAATATAAAAAAAAAAACATTTTCTACTTACCACAAGTGCAAATAATGAAATCTTCCATAGTCAAATAAATTTTAGTGGTAGAGTCAAATTCTTCGGGCAATGGTTCGTAACAATATTTACGGTCATACGCTATACCTCCCTCGGTACAAATTAGCAAAAAGTCTTCACAAACAAACCGCTCTAAAAAAAGTTTCTCTATTGTAGAATCTGCATTTTTATCCACGCGACAGGTCACTGCATAAATCTACATGAAAAATAAATTATTTAGTAAAATAAAAAAAAAATAATGACACTGAAGTTTACAGGTATTAGAATTTTTATAAAAAAAAATTATGCTTTATTAAATAGTGACTTTTGTTAAATTGCACTGTACTTTCTTAAATATTGACATTTTTTTAAATATAAACTCATCTTGATGTTACACTCATCAAGAGCTTTCATTTGAGTACCTACATGCATTTTCATATATTTTTCATATATACATATATATAACATATAAATATATGAAAAATTGATGTGGGTACTCAAATGAAAGGTCTCGATGAGTGTAACATCGGGATTAGCTTATTTCTTTTAAAATGTCAATAGTTGACAAGATACAAGGTCATTCCTTAACTATTGACATTTTTTAAGATATAAACTCATTTCGATGTTACACTCATCGAGACCTTTCATTTAAGTACCAACATGGTATTTTTCATATATTTTATATATATATATATATATATATATAGAATATATGAAAAATTGATGTGGGTACTCAAATGAAAGGTCTCGATGAGTGTTATGTCGGGGTGAGCTTATATCTTTAAAAAATGTCAATAGTTCACGAGATACAAGGTCATTTCTTAAGTATATGTATCTAGAGAT